CCTCCCAAAGTGCTGGGATTACAGGCTTGAGCCACCGCACCCGGCCTTTCAAGAAGTAACTTTTAAAATCTTTGGTCAATTTAAAAAATTGTCTGTTTTGTTGATTTGTAGGTACATCAGGGTCCCCAAGACCACCCCCAGGTTTAGTGATTTGCCAAAAGGACTTGCAAGATTTAGCATGTAATTGTATCCACAGCTAAGATTTATTATAGTGAAATGTACAAAACAAAATCAGCAAAAGGAAGAGTTGCACATGTGATGAAGTCTGCAAGGAAACTGTTGACAGCTTTCCAGAGTCCAAACCCAGTAGAGTCATACATGACATGCGTAATTCCATAGCAATTAGTTGTGACAACATGTGGGAAGTGTTGTCTACCAGGGAAGCTCATTAGAGACATAGTGCCCAAAGTTTTTGTTGGCAGCTGATCACATAACCTCTTTCTTCCTAGCACATACCCAAATTCCAGACCCTCAGAATGAAAGCATGTGTTCATCAGCCGGGCGCGGTGGCTCAAGCCTGTAATCCCAGCACTTTGGGAGGCCGAGGCGGGTGGATCACGAGGTCAAGAGATCGAGACCATCCTGGTCAACACGGTGAAACCCCGTCTCTACTAAAAATACAAAAAATTAGCTGGGCATGGTGGCGCGTGCCTGTAATCCCAGCTACTCAGGAAGCTGAGGCAGGAGAATTGCCTAAACCTAGGAGGCGGAGGTTGCGGTGAGCCGAGATCGCGCCATTGCACTCCAGCCTGGGTAACAAGAGTGAAACTCCGTCTCAAAAAAAAAAAAAAAAAAAAAAAAAGAAAGCATGTGTTCATCATAAACCACATTGTTTGTACAGTTTAAGCACAGGGAGCCACTCTTACCATTTTGGGAAAATTTCATTTCAGTGTGGGGAACTGTTAACCAGCCATGTTCCCAGATTCCAGCAAAGGGTCAACCTTGCAATAGGCCTTTCTAAGGACAGGCAGTTTTAGGCCTGCTATGTTAACTATTTTATGCACAATAGGAATTTTGTTTACATTCAGGATTCTAGGCCCTCATAAAGTCATATATGCTATAAATATCTTCTCCTACTCTGCTGTTTCATCTTTTGTTCTCTTTATGGTATCCTTTGATGAACAGATGTTTTAAATTTTAATGTAGTCAAATCTCTTATTTTTTCCCCTTTATGGTTAATGTTTCTTGCACCCTATTTAAAACATCCTTCTATATTCCAAAGTCATAAGGATCCATACCTTCGTTGTTTTATACAGTTTTATAATTTTTCCATCCCCCTTTATGTCAGTAATCTACTTGGAATTGAGTTTTTATGGATAATATGCAGTAGGAAATTCATTTCATTTTCCTCCTGATGTATAATCAATTATCCTAGCATGAAAGATTGTTGTTTCCCCACTGCTCTGTAGTGCCAACTCTGTCTTCTATCAAGTAATCATATATGTATGTCTCTGTTCCTAGAATCCTTTTTTCTGTTCCATTAGTCTCTCTGTCTATCCCTTTCTTAATTACTATAGTTTTGTTATATGTCTTGATATATGATGGGACTGTTTCTCTCTCCTTATTCTTTTCTGAGAATGCTTGGCTGTTCTAGGTCCTTTGTGCTTTTATATGAATTTTAGAATTAGTTTGTCAAATCTGTTAAAAAATGGATTTTTTTTTATTGGGAATACATTAACTCTATAAATCAATTTGGGGATAACTATCATCTTTACATTGACTCTTTTTTTTAATAGAAAAATCTTCATGATACATTGACTTTTATAATTCATGAACATTATTTATTTAGATGTTCCATAATTTAAAGTTTTATCTAAATAAAATTTACCAATGTTATCCTTAGAGGCATTGCATAATCTTTGGTTAGATTTACTCTTAAATATCTTATTTTAAAATTCCAAATTAGCTGGACATGGTGGCATATGCTCATAGTTCTATCTACTTGGGAGGCTGAGGCAGGAGGATCACTTGAGCCCACGAGTTCAAGGCTTCAGTGAGCAATGATTATACCATTGCACTCTAGCCTGGGTGACACAGCCAGACCCTGTCTCTAAAAATAAATAAATAAATACCAAAAATGAAAATTCAGGTATCTTTTTTTAAAAGTTTCATTTTCTGTTTGTTGTTAGAAAAGGATTACATTTAAACTCAAATTGTACCAGGGCCAGCCACCCAAACTAATACATGAAAAAAACATAGAAGTGTTAAAATGTAAATTGTGTCCTAAAAAATTACATGGATTGCATGGGTGGTAGAAATAGATAATAGAAAAATTGTGCCTCTGTTTCATAAGTGGGCTTTAATAAATGACAGTGCAATAGATTCATAATAATGATTAATAGGCAAATGAAAGTTAATGAATAGCATAAAATCAGACATAATGGTTGCATTTTTGACAATAGAGAATACTACTGAATATTATACAATGGTGCTAATCTATTAGCATTACTAAACTTTCTAATATATGTCTCTTTTATTTAACTCAGGTGAAAAGGATTCGATGATTTTTGATTGTACTGAATGCTATGATCCAGTTACTAAACAGTGGACAACTGTAGCTTCAATGAATCATCCTCGCTGTGGTTTAGGAGTGTGTGTGTGTTATGGAGCTATCTATGCTTTGGGTAATTATGCTGTTCAATTTAAAGATAGCTAATATTATTTATGTACTTATTTTTAATTTTCACTTTTGTGGGTACGTAATAGGTATATATATTTTGGGGCACATGAGATACAGGTACACAACGTGTAATAATAACATCATGTAAAATGGGATATCCAGCCCCTCAAGTATTTATCCTTTGTGTTATAAACAATCCAGTTATTAAGAATAACTAGGCCGGGCGCGGTGGCTCAAGCCTGTAATCCCAGCACTTTGGGAGGCCGAGGCGGGTGGATCACGAGGTCAAGAGATCGAGACCATCCTGGTCAACATGGTGAAACCCCGTCTCTACTAAAAATACAAAAAATTAGCTGGGCATGGTGGTGCGTGCCTGTAATCCCAGCTACTCAGGAGGCTGAGGCAGGAGAATTGCCTGAACCCAGGAGGTGGAGGTTGCGGTGAGCCGAGATCGCGCCATTGCACTCCAGCCTGGGTAACATGAGTGAAACTCCGTCTCAAAAAAAAAAAAAGAATAACTAAAGCAGCTGGTCCTAGGCGCTTCAGAAACCGCGGCTTAGGTGCAGACATGGCCAAGTCCAAGAACCACACAACACACAACCAGTCCCGAAAATGGCACAGAAATGGTATCCAGAAACCCCGATCACAAAGATATGAATCTCCTAAAGGGGTGGACCCCAAGTTCCTGAGGAACATGTGCTTTGCCAAGAAGCACAACAAGAAGGGCCTAAAGAAGATGCAGGCCAACAATGCCAAGGCCATGAGTGCACGTGCCAAGGCCATCAAGGCTCTCGTAAAGCCCAAGGAGGTTAAGCCCAAGATCCCAAAGGGGGGTGTCAGCCGCAAGCTTGATCGACTTGCCTACATTGCCCACCCCAAGCTTGGGAAGCGTGCTCGTGCACGTGTTGCCAAGGGGCTCAGGCTCTGCCAGCCAAAAGTCAAGGCCAAGTCTAAGGATCAAAACAAGGCCCAGGCTGCAGCTCCAGCTTCAGTTCCAGCTCAGGCTCCCAAAGGTGCCCAGGCCCCTGCAAAGGCTTCAGAGTAGATATCTCTGTCTGCCAACGTGAGGACAGAAGGACTGGTGCGACCCCTCGGGGCTGCCATCTGCATGGGGCTGGGGTCCTCCTGTGCTATTTGTACAAATAAACATGAGGGAGGAAAAAAAAAAAAAAGAATAACTAAAGCAATACTCTTCTAGTTATTTTTAAATGTATAACTAAATTATTATTGACTATAGTCATCCTGTTGTGCTATCAAATACTAGATCTTATTCATTATTTCTGTTTTTGTTTTTTTGTACTCATTAATCATGCCCACCTCCTCCTCACCCCCCACCAACCTTCCCGGCCTCTGGTAACCATCCTTCTACTCTATCTCCATGAGTTCAATTGTTTTGATTTTTAGATCCCACAAAGAAGTGAGAATATGGTATGTTTGTAAAGATAGCTAATATTATTTAAATTATTGGGTCCTGATTACCGTGGAGATGATCTTTCCCTCTTTTCAGCTCTTTAAATTCTTTTTTTAAAAAAACCAATTGGCTTTAATCTGCATACTCTGGAGGCTGTGCAAGGTCTTAGGGAAAGGTGTAGGTAGGGGTTGGGGGGGTTGGGGTGATGCTCCTGGGCTGTCCATCCTGAGGAGGCACTCAGGCAGGGAATGGTACAGGAGGACCTGAGCACCTGCAGGGCAGAGCCTTGTTGGGCAGGTGCATCAGTTCTTGGGCAGATGGTAGATGCCTGCCTGGCCAGTTGGCTGGCTGACCAAGCTGCTAGTTATGCACATTCTTCTGCAGGTAGCCCTGGAGCTACTGTGTGCTGTAAATGTGCTTGCCAGCTCTTTAAATTCTTCTCAAAATTGTATCACTGGAGATGAAGTACAGATGAGACATCCAGTGAAGTCCTTTAGCTGAGTAGTTAAATCTTATTATTTTAATTAAATATATAACTTTTTTTTTTTTTTTGAGAGGAAGTTTCGCCCTTGTTACCCAGGCTGGAGTGCAACGGCATGATCTCGGCTCACTGCAACCGCCACCTCCTGGGTTCAGGCAATTCTCTTGCCTCAGCCTCCTAAGTAGCTGGGATTATAGGCACGCGCCACCATGCCTAGCTAATTTTTTGTATTTTTAGTAGAGACGGGGTTTCACCATGTTGACCAGGATGGTCTCGATCTCTTGACCTTGTGATCCACCCGCCTCGGCCTCCCAAAGTGCTGGGATTACAGGTGTGAGCCACCATGCCCGGCAACATATAACATTTTACCACTCTGCCTAGTGGCCTAATTATGTCTAATATAAGAAAGCACATGCCAAAAGCTTAAATGTATCACAAGGAAATTCTGCACTATATTATTTTTATTTTTGTAGATGTAGTGAATGATTATGAATAAGCTATTCTACTTCTTTAATTATCTGTGTAATAGATGTTAGAACCAAGGTTGTTCTTAGGGAACTTATAAGTTGACATAGCCCTCAGTCTCCCCTATTTTCTCCTTGTCATTCCTTCAGTTCACTCTAACTCAGGGTCTTCCCCCGATCAAAACCTATTGTGTAAAAAATATCACTTACCTGAAGGTGGATTTAATCTATTATATTCTATTACTTCCATATGTATCTGCATTTTTTAGTTAATTTTTGGGAAATAATATTTTCAGTTTTAAGAATTGGAGAACATGTTGTTGTGGGGATTAAGGGCCTTTTTGAAGTTCCTGAAATTACACCAAATACACAGCATACACTGATTAGACTTGGAGCTGTCCTTGATTAAGATAAATATTCTGAATAGCCAGAAGTCATTTCAAAAGGTAGTTTTGCAAAATACCATCTTTCCCATGCAATATATTGAAGTTTTGGGGCTTGTTTCGTTTTGTTTTGTTTTAGTCTTTAGTGAAAATTAGACACCGAATTAAAATACTTGAATTCTTTTTTTTTTTTTTTTTTTTTTTTCTCAGAAGAGCATCAATTTTGCAAAGGACCTGAGTTCTACTCATGGTCAGATTCTAACTTTTTCATGTGATCGTGGAACAGATAACCTCTTTGGTTCATGTGATACTCATCCATAATATGAAGTATTTGGTTTAGATGTTTTTTTGTAAGGTCTTTGTCATAAATAAGATTTCTTTATCCCAGAAATAAACATTTTTCTATTTTGTTACAGGTGGATGGGTTGGAGCTGAGATAGGGAACACAATTGAACGATTTGATCCTGATGAAAATAAATGGGAAGTAGTGGGCAACATGGCTGTGTCACGCTACTACTTTGGGTGCTGTGAAATGCAAGGTAATGACTATAAAATATTTTTCCTCAGCTGGGCATGGTGGCTCACCCCTATAATCCTAGCACTTTGGGAGGCCGATGCAGGCAGATTACAAGGTCAGGAGTTTGAGACCAGCCTGGCCAATATGGTAAAACCTTGTGTCTACTAAAAAATACAAAAATTACCTGGATGTGGTAGCATGCGCCTGTAGACTTAGCTACTTGAGAAGCTGAGGCAGGAGAATCACTGGAACCCAGGAGGCAGAGGTTGCAGTGAGCCAAGATTGCGCTACTGTACTCCAGCCTGGGCAACAGAGACTCTGTCTCAAAAAAAAAAAATTTTTTTTTCCTCAAAATGTGGTTCTGCAAAACTGTTTGAGTTTGAGGCCTTATTTTCACAAAAGTATATTTTAGGTCTGTTAGTATTAAATGACTGATATTAGCAGCATAGAAGTTCTGCTTTTTGCCTCCTATCATTGACTTTTATTTCTGTATTGCCAAAATAATTGATTTTTTTTCAAAATAAACAAGGCTAGAATTAAAAATTGCAAATAAGCAGGAATATCTGACTAGCAAAATAAGCATTTAAAGTGTTATCTGTTATTATCTTTTTTCTCCCATGAACATCTAAGCAAATATTTCTAAGTAGGAAGAGAGTATCAAAAACAATTTTGAGGCTTGGTGGCTCATGCCTGTAATTCCAGCACTTTGAGAGGCTGAGACAGGAGGATTACCTGAGGTCAGGAGTTTGAGGCCAGCCAGACCAAAGAAATGGTGAAACCTCATTTCTACTAAAAATACAAAAATTAGCTGGGCATGGTACCACACTCCTGTAATCCCAGCTACTAGGGAGGCTGAGGCAGGAGAATTTGCTTGAACCCAAGAGATGGAGGTTGCAGTGAGTGAGATGGTGCCACTGCACTACAGCCTGGGCAACAGTGAGACTCTGTCTCAAAAAATAAATAAAAATAAAAACTATTTTCATGGTCTCTATTTGTAGGTTTCTTTAGCTTTTTTTTTTTTTTTTTCTACAAAGTACATTGTGATTTAGTTCACATAGCATATAATTCTGTGACAGATTTAAAAAATTTTATGTTACATATTAAAGTGGTATACAAACATTATTTTAATTATCTACTACACTCTGAGAGGTAGGTAGTAAGCTGTTTTAACTAGAACCTGATTCTCTGTCTAGGATTGGAAAGCTGATTTATATGCACCTGTGGAGAAGAAAACAACTTTCCCATTGTAGTATGACAGCCTAGCCTGCTCAAGTTCCTTCTGCTTTGTGATTACCTTCTCTGATTTCCACTAGCAAATTATGCGGTGCCAACTATATCTTATGTTTAATGTTATATTGTTTTCTATTTATTATTTTTATCATCCCACCTAAAATCATAGAGCTAACTAGAAAGGGATCTTTGAACTTACCTGTTTCTTTTTCTTTTTCTTTTTTTTTTTTTTTAAGACGGGGTTTCACCATGTTGGTCAGGCTGGTCTTTGAACTCCCGACCTCAGGTGATCCGCCTGCCTTGGCCTCCAAAGTGCTTGGATTACAGGCGTGAACCACCACGCCTGGCCTGAACTTACCTATTTTAGTTTCTTTAAGTATAGATGTGGAAGCTGGAGATCAGGAAGGTTGTGAGTTGCTTTTTCATAGCTGGTTACTGGCAAGGCTGGAACTAAAACCCAAGTTTACTAACATATAGCCCACATTTCTTAAAATATCATTCTTTATAACTCCTCACTTTGGAAGATGAAGAACAACACTAGAGATTCAAAAATAATTGTAGATTGCCAGAGTTTATAAGGAAATTCTATGTAAATTACATTATATTTTACTGTAGTAATTTTTTTTTTTTTTTTTTTTGGAGACAAGATCTGGCTCTATTGCCCAGGCTGGAGTGCAGTGGTGCAATCTTGGCTCACTGCACCTGTGCCTCCCAGTCTCAAGCTATCCTCCCACCTCAGTCTCCTGAGTAGCTGGCACTGCAGGCATGCACCACCATGCCTGGCTGATTTTGTATTTTTTGTATTTTTTGCCCAGGTTGGTTTCAAACTCTAGTGATCTGCCTGCCCTGTCCTCTCAAAGTGCTGGGATTGTGAACCACTGTGCCCAAATGTATACTGTAGTAATTGATTCTGATACCTTAATTTAGCCACATACTATTTAAATTTAAATTCCCTACTTTATGTCCAGCTGAGCAACAGATAGGCCATCACTGAAGAGGGCCATGTCATTCCCAGCTTAAGTGCATAACATTTTTTAAGGGAAAAAAATTCCATGTTTCTAGGTTGGGTGCGGTGGCTCACGCCTGTAATCCCAGCACTTTGGGAGGCTGAGGTAGGCGGATCACGAGGTCAAGAGATTGAGACCATCCTGGCCAACATGGTGAAACCCCATCTCTAAAAAAAAAAAAATCCATGGTTTTTTTTTTTTTTTGAGACAGTCTCACCCTGTCACCAGGCTGGAGTACAATGGCACCATGCTGGCTCACTGCAACTTTTGTTTTCCAGTTTCAAGCAATTCTCCTGCCTCAACCTCCCCAGTAGCTAGGACTACAGGCACACGCCACCACACTGGGCTAATTTTTTTTTTTAGTATTATTATTATTATTTTTATTTTTTTTGAGACGGAGTTTCACTCATGTTACCCAGGCTGGAGTGCAATGGCGCGATCTCGGCTCACCGCAACCTCCGCCTCCTGGGTTCAGGCAATTCTCCTGCCTCAGCCTCCTGAGTAGCTGGGATTACAGGCACGCGCCACCATGCCCAGCTCATTTTTTGTAGTTTTGGTAGAGACGGGGTTTCACCATGTTGACCAGGATGGTCTCGATCTCTTGACCTTGTGATCCACCCGCCTCGGCCTCCCAAAGTGCTGGGATTACAGGCTTGAGCCACCGCGCCCGGCCGTTTTTTAGTATTATTTTTAGTAGAGAGGGGGTTTCACCATGTTGGCCAGGATGGTCTCGATTTCTTCCCCTTGTGATCTGCCCACCTCGGTCCCCCAAAGTGCTGGGATTACAGGTGTGAGCCACCACACCCAACCTCTTTCCTGTTGTATATATGGGTGGTAGCAGGGGATCTGGAACCTGAGATCACCAAGCAGACAATTAGATAGAAAATCCTTGGCTGGGCTGGGCATGGTGGCTCACGCCTATAATCCCAGCACTTTGGAAGGCGAAGGTGGGTGGATCACCTGAGGTCAGGAGTTTGAGACCACCCTGACCAACATGGAGAAACTCCATCTCTACTAAAAATACAAAATGAGCTGGGCATGGTGGTGCATGCTTGTAATACCAGCTACTCAGGAGGCTGAGGAAGGAGAATCGCTTGAACCCAGGAGGTGGAAGTTGTGGTGAGCCAAGATCATGCCATTGTACTCCAGCCTGGGCAGCAAGAGCAAAACTCCATCACCAAAAAAAGAAAATCCTTGGTTGACAGATTATTTCAAGTTATTTGAAAACTCAATGCCATTTTAAATTAATTCCACTCGTTTTTTGCAACTTGCCGAATAGTGAGGTGATAAACTTCACAAAGTTGATTTTCTCTTAAATAATATTTTAAGCCCTAGATTAAACATAGCATCAGCATAGGAAACATAGATCACAGTCATTACTTTTCATCAGTATTTGTATCTTACTTTCTATGGCACCTGAGCAAAAATATTTCATTTCCAGGTTTAATTTATGTAATTGGGGGCATCAGCAATGAAGGACTAGAACTTCGTTCTTTTGAAGTCTATGATCCACTTTCCAAGCGTTGGTCTCCACTTCCTCCAATGGGAACCAGGAGAGCATATGTTGGCGTGGCTGCACTCAATGACTGCATCTATTCTATTGGAGGATGGAATGAGACCCAAGATGCTCTTCATACTGTAGAAAAATATTCCTTTGAAGAGGTAGGTTGGATGATTTCAGATGTTTAGTCTCCTGGTATTCTTTTAATGTCTGTATGATCTGTGGTGATATACTGTCTTTCAGATATTGATCATTCATGGACTTTTTTTCCTTTTTTTCTTTTCAAAGAAGTAATTTTCGGTGTCATTGCTTTTTTCTATTGTCAATTTTCTGTTATATTGATTTCTGTTCTTAGTTTTCCCTTTTCTCTGTTTGTTTTTAATTGAGTTTGCTCTTTTCTGGATTATATATTTATTTTTAAATTTTTTTAGAGACAGGGTCTTGCTCTGTTGCCCATGCTGGAGTGTACTGATATAATTATTATAGCTCACTGTAACATTGAACTCCTGCCCAGCTAATTTAAAAAAACTTTTTTGTACTGCTGGGCATGGTAGCTCATACCTGTAATCCCAGCACTTTGGGAAGCCAAGATGAGAGGATCCTTTGAGCCCAGGAGTTCAAGGCCAGCCTGGGCAACATAGTGAGACTGTCTGTACAATAAATAACAAAATTAGTTGGGCATGGTGGTATGCACCTTTGGTTCTAGCTACTCGGGGGGCTTATTTATTTTCTGAGATAGAGTCTTGCTCTGTTGCCCATGCTAGAATACAGTGGCGCGACCCCGGCTCACTACAATCTCCGCCTCCTGGGTCCAAGCGATTCTCCTGCCTCAGCCTTCTGAGTAGCTGGGATTACAGGCATGCACCATGACACCCAGCGAATTTTTGTATTTTTAGTAGCAAGAGGGTTTCACCATGTTGGGTGGGCTGGTCTCGAACTCCTGACCTCATGATCTGCCTGCCTTGGCCTCCCAAAGTGCTGGGATTGGGATTAGAGGCGTGAACCACTGCGCCTGGCTGCTTCACATATTTTGATTTGCCTCTGGTAATTCTTTATACTGAAGTATACTTTTTTTTTTTTTTTTGAGACAGAGTCTCACCCTGTCACCCAGGCTAGAGTACAGTGGCATGATCACAGCTCACTGCAACCTCTGTCTCCTGGGTTCAAGGGATTCTTGTGCCTCAGCCACCCGAGTAGCTGGGATTACAGGCATGTGCTACCATGCCCAGCTACTTTTTGTATTTTTAGTAGAGATGGGATTTTGCTGCATTGGCCAGGCTGGTCTTAAACTCCTGACCTCAAGTAGTCTGCCTGCCTTGGCCTCCCAAAGTGCTAGGATTACAGGTATGAGCCATCACACCTAGCCGCTAAGCTTTCTTTTCATTAGTGTTTTCATGGTATAGTATATCTTTTTCTTTCCTTCTGCTTCTCTGTATCTTTACAGATTGAACTTGTAGACAGCATATAGTTGTGGTCTTTTTTTAAGTTCACTTTGACAATCTCTGACTTCAAATGTTTTTTAGAGCTCATGTATATATATATATATGGGGGTTTTTTTGTTTTTTTTTTTTTTAGACGTAGTCTTGCTTTGTCGCCAGGCTGGAGGGCAGTGACACGATCTTGGCTCACTGCAATCTCTGCCTCCTGGGCTCAAGCGATTCCCCTGCCTCAGCCTCCTGAGTAGCTGGGACTACAGGTGTGCACCATGATGCCTGGCTAATTTTTTGTATTTTAGTAGATACTGGGTTTTACATGTTGGCCAGGGTGGTCTCCATCTCCTGACCTTGTGATCCACATGCCTCTGCCTCCCAAAGTACTAGGATTATAGGCATGAGTCACTGTGCCCAGCCTTATATTTTATGTAATTACAAATATGGTTGGTTTGTAGACTGCTATTTTGCTGTTTGTTTTTGTTTTTTCTTTTTCTTTTTTTTTTTTTTTTTTTTTGAGACAGAACCTTGCTCTGTTGCTCAGGCTAGAATTCAGTGGCGTGATCTTGGCTCACTGCAACCTCTGCTTCCCAGGTTCATGCGATTTTCCTGCCTCAGCCTCCCGAGTAGCTGGGATTATGGGTGCCCACCACCATGCCCAGCTAATTTTTATATTTTTAGTAAAGATGGGCTTTCACCATTTGGGCCAGGCTGTTCTCAAACTCCTGACCTTGAGCAATCCCCCTACTTTGGCCTCCCAAAATGCTGGGATTATAGGTGTGAGCCACCGTGGCTGGCCTTGCCGTTTCTTTTCTGTGTATGAAATCTATTCTTTGATTCTTTTTTCCTCTTTTCATCTTTATGTTGATTGTTTTAGTATTCTATTTTATTTCTTTTATTGCCTAGTTAGCTATATTTCTTCAACCTTTTTCTTGGTGATGGCTTTAGGATTTTGTGGGTAGAAAATACATACTCAACATGTTTTTCTACTCATGTTTTCATCACAACAATCATTAACACAGACAACTTCTGTGAGTGAATCTGTGTGTGGGTTTTCCCCTATACATCAAGCAGCAGACACCAGCTAGGTGACCTGTAATTCAGTTAAATTCTGCTACTATCTATGTGGAGATAGCCTCAGACTTCAGAGTTGAGGGGTCAGTCCTCATGACTGCCCCCTCCTTCAGGCACCGGTCCAAGTCCAGGCCTCTGGAACTTCTGACCAACTGGCTCCAAGTTGGGGTTCTCACACCTTCTTTGGAGTCAATTAATTTGCTAGAGTGGCTCATAGAACTCAGGGAAACACTTAACTTATGTTTATCAGGTTATGATAAGGGATATTTCAAAGGATACAGATGAAGAGATGCATAGGGGAGGTATGTGGGTATGGCATGGTACTTCTATGCCCTCTCTGGTTATGCCACCCTCTAAAAACTTCCAGGTGCCCAACTATCAGAAAGTTCTCCGAATTCAGCCCTTTCGGGTTTTTATGGAGACTTTATTACATTGGCATGATTGATTAAATCATTAACTTAACCCTCAGCTCCTCTCCCCTCCCTGGAAGTCAGTGGATGGGACTGAAAGTTCTAATCCTCTAATCATGTCTTGGTCCTTCTGGTGACCAGCCCCCATTCTGAAGCTAACTATGGGCTTCCAGCCATCAGTCATTGCCAGAAAGTGGGTTGAAGACTAAGTATGTACTTCATAATATCACAGGTTTACATTTTATATTTTTAGTGTATGAAATCTACAATATACTGTATCACTTGAAAGTGAGGACCTTGGCTGGGCACAGTGGCTCATGCCTGTAATCCCAGCACTTTGGAAAGCCGAGGTGGGCAGATCCTGAGGTTAGGAGATCGAGACCATCCTGGATAACACGGTGAAACCCCTTCTCTACTAAAAAAAAAAATACAAAAAATTAGCCAGGCATGGTGGTGCATACCTGTAGTCTCAGCTACTCGGGAGGCTGAGGCAGGAGAATCGCTTGAACCCGGGAGGAGATGGCGCCACTGCACTCCAGCCTAGGCAACAGAGCGAGACTTTCAAAGAAAAAGAAAGAAAGAAAGGACCTTATAAAAATACACTTTTGCTGGGTACGGTGGCTCAAATCCAGCAGTTTGAGAGACAGAGGCGGGTTGATCACCTGAGGTCAGGAGTTCAAGACCATCCTGGTCAACATGGTGATACCTTGTCTCTACCAAAAATACAAAAATTAGCTGGGTGTGGTGGCACATGCCTGTAGTCCCAGCTACTCTGGAGGCTGAGGCAGGAGAATCACTTAAACCCAGGAGGTGGAGGTTGCAGTGACCTGAGACTGTGCCACTGCACTCTAGCCTGGGTGACAGAGTGAGACTCTGTCTCAAAAAAGGAAAAAAAATTGTTTTAAAAATATATATTTTTAGGGGTGTGTGTGTGTGTGGGAAAATTAAAATAAAATTAAATATATATATATATTTTTCCCCCCCCGGGACTCCAATTATACATATATGTAAGTAACACCACCCAATATTGTCCCACAGCCATTAAAGCTCTATTAATTTTTTCTCATTCCTTTTTCTCTCTGTGCTTCAGTGTGGGTAGTTTGTTTTGCTCTGTCTTCAAGTTTATTAATCCTTTAGAGTATCCAGACTTCTAGTTCACAGTGTTCAATCCCATCTATGGAATTTTTTGTTTTAGATATTGTATTTTTTAGTTCTAGAAGATCTGTTTTCTTATGTCTTCTTTTTCTGTTCTCATGTTTATATTTTTCTTTAGATCCCCAAAAGTATATATATATATATATATATATTTCCCCCTCCTATACTTTGTGCTATTGTTCAACTTCTATATTTCTATGTGTTGTAAAACTCATGTGTGTTTTATATAAATATATTCAAAAAGTTTTAAAATGAGAAAGTCTTTTATAATTACCTATATGTTTACTATTGCTAGTTCTATTTATTCTTTTTTTTTTTTTTTTTTTTTTTTTTCACACAGAAAATAATTTGGTTCCAATGCATAGTTCTATTCATTCTTTTGTGTTGAATTGAATTTCTGTCTCACATCGTTTTCTCGGCTCAAAGAACTTCTTTTAATATTCCCATGCAGGTCTGGTAGTGATTAACTTCTCTTATTTTCTAAAACTGTCTTTTTTTTCTCCTTCTTTTTTTTTTTGAGACAGTTTTTCTCCGTTGCCCAGGCTGGAGTGCAGTGATGTGAGCTCAGCTCACTACAACCTCACCTCTCAGATTCAAGCAATTCTCCTGCCTCATCCTCATAAGTAGCTGGGATTATGGGTGCCCACCACCACACCCTGCTAATTTTTATATTTTTTAGTAGAGATGGGGTTTCACCATGTTGGTCAGGCTGGTCTTGAACTCCAGACCTCAGGCGATTCACCCACCTTGGCCTCCCAAAGTGCTGGGATTACAGGTGTGAGCCACTGCACCCAACCTGTCCTCATTTTTGAAAGATTTTTTGCTGGGTATAGAATTTTAGGTTGCTTTTTTTTTTAGATGAGTTTCACTCTTGTCACCCACAGTGGAGTGCAATGGTATAATCTTGGCTCACTGCAACATCCACTTCCAGGGTTCAAGTGATTCTCCTGCCTATTCTCCTGAGTAGCTGGGATTACAGGTGTGCGCCACCATGCTTGGCTAATTTTTGTATTATTGTATTATTAGTAAAGACAGGGTTTCACCATGTTGGCCAGGCTGGTCTCGAACTCAGGTGATCCACCCACCTCGGCTTCTCAAGTGCTGGGATTATGTGTATGATAATACACTGCACCCGGCCTTAGGTTGCTTTTTTTTATCTTTCATCACCCTGAAGATGTTTTTTAATTTCTTAAATTGTTTCTGACAAGAAGTCAGTAGTGATTTTTCTCTTTGTTCCCCCACATGTAATGTATTTCTTCTTTGTCAGCTTTTAAGATTTTCTCTTCATCATGGGTCTTCAGTAATTTGATTATGATGTGTCTTGTTGGGATTTTGTGTTTAACCTTCTTGGAATTCACTGTACTTCTTGAATCTGTGGGATTATAGCTTTAATCAAATTGGAATGTTTTCTGCCATATTTTTTCAAATATTCTCCTGTCTTTCTGGGACTCCAGTTATTTATACATATGTGCATATGCATATATTAAATTTTTTCCCACTCTTTTTTCTCTCTGTGCTTCAGTTTGGGTAGTTTGTTTTGCTCTGTCTTCAAGTTTATTAATCCTTTAGAGTATCCAGACTTCTAGATCGCTGTGTTCAATACCATCTATGGAATTTTTCATTTTAGATACTGTATTTTTTAGCTCTAGAAGATCTGTTTTCTTAGATCTTCTTTTCTCTCCTTATGTTCATATTTTCCTTTGGATCCCCTAACAATTAATAATACTGGTTTTAAAGTCTTTGCTAATTTCATCATCTCTGTAATGTTTGGATCTGTATCTGTTGACTTTTAAAATATTAGAGACAAGGTTTTGCTATGTTGCTCAGTCTGATATCAAACTCCTGAGCTCAAGTGGTCTTTCTGCCTCAGCCTCCTGAGTAACTGGCACTATAGACATGTACCACGGTGCCTAGCTTTTTCACTTTTTAAATTCCTGGTTTGAGTAACATTTTGTTTCTGGCTTCTCCACATTTCTGTTTACTTTTGATTGGATGACAGACATTGTAAATATTATGAAGGGGACCTCTATACTGTACCAAACTCTGATCTCTGTCTTCTGTATCAGCTATCATACTCTGCTTCAGATCCCCTTCCTTGTACCTCTTTTCAGAAAGCCTCTCCCTAGCTATGTTTACCTTGTTTCAGTTTCTCAGGGATCACAGTTTTACATTGCCTGTTATCTAATGTCTGAGAGTTTTTTTGTTTTTTTGAGGCAATGTCTCATTCTGTCTTCCAAGCTGGAGTTCAGTGGGGCAATCTTGGTTCACTGCAACCTCCACCTCCTGGCTTCAAGCAATTCTTGTACCTCAGCCTCCAGAGTGGTTGGGATTACAAGCACACATCACCATGCCCAGCTAATTTTTGTATTTTAGTAGAGACAGGGTTTCACCATGTTGGCCAGGCTGGTTTTGAACTCCTGACCTGAACTGATCTGCCCATCTCAGCCTCCCAAAGTGCTTGGATTACAGGTGTGAGCCACCGCGCCTCACCATGTTTAACCTTTTTTAGGATCTCCCAGACTGTTTTCTAAGCTATCTGCACCATTTTATATAACCACCATCAGTGTCTGAGGGTTCCAGTTTCTCCACATCCAATGCTTGTTATTATTTGCTTTTTCTTTCATAGCTGTTCTAGTAAGTATAAATGGGTATCTCGTTGTGGCTTTGATTTGCATTTCCCTGATGGCTAATAATGTTAAGCATCTTTTCATGTGTTTTTTGGTCATCTGTTTATCTTCTTTGAAGAAATATCTATTGAATTTATGTTTTAAAATTGGATTATTTGTCTTTATTATTGAGTTATAAGAGTTCTTTTCATAATCTAGATACAAGTCCTTTATCGAATATATAATTTGCAAATTTTCTCTCCCATTATGTGTGTTTTCTTCACTTTCTTGATGCTATTCAAGCATAAAAATTTAAATTTTGATGTCTAATTTATTTTTTTCCTTTGTTACTTATGCTTTTATTATAATTAAGAAAGCATTGCTGAATCCAGGGTCATAAGGACTTACAGCTATGCTTTCTTCTAAGAGTTTTATAGTTTTAATATTTGTATTTAGGTCTTTGATGCATTTTGAGGGGATTTAATTTTATATGTGATGTGAGGTAGAGATCCACCCTCATTCTTTTGTATTTGGGTATCCAGTTGTCTCAGCATCATTTATTAAAAACACTGTTCTTGTGCTGGGGGCGGTGGCTCACGCCTGTAATCCTAGCACTTTGGGAGGCCGAGGTGGGTGGATCACCTGAGGTCAGGAGTTCGAGACCAGCCTGGCCATCATGGAGAAACCCCATCTTAAAAAACAAAACAAAACAGAATAGAATACAACAGAGCAGAACAGAATAGAATAAAACAGAATTGAATGAATGAATAAATGAATGAGTGATTTAAAAAAAAAAAAAAGAAAAAAAAATTGTTTACTTCTTAAATATGAATTAAACTAAGATGCCTTTTATTTCATTGTTTTCCCCTCCTTACCCTAGCTAGGACCTCCAGTATAATGTTGAAGTGGCAAGAATGGACTTCTATGTCTTGTTGTAAAGCATGAGGATTTTGATTCTCATTTCTGACAAGTTTTAAACTTTGGTGGCATTTCAAATGCCTTTCTCCATGATTCTCTTTGGGTTTATCTGATACAGAAAGTGAACTTTTTTAGGGTACTTTCTGTATTAGAAATGAATGGCTTTGAAATGAATAGATTTTTGTTTCAAATTAAGTCTTATTAATAATGTATTACCTTGGTTTTTATGCATAAATATGAAATTTTATTGTTATTGACTACCTACTAACAATTTGCATTACAAATCCAGGCCGTAAACATAATGTAAAACATGTTAGTGGTCTTACAGAGGTTTTTTTTTTTTGAGGTAACATGGGATAAAAAGTAAACTATATCAGATAAGAACGTGTCAATTAAATCAAAAATAAAATAATAAAAATTTAAAAAGCAAACCTATAGTTCTAATACACTGGTAGAAATGAAATAGGAACAATATAGGATGAGCCCTAAGCTCCCTTTATTATTATCAAGGGGTATTTTTGTGGGAGAGCAAAGGTTAGTTCTCTCTAATTATAAACATAACCCAAGTTACCCTAATTTATCTTAACCAGAAATGGATATTTTTGAGACTGTATTTATCTTTTAAAGTATGAGTATTTTTTTCAGTTATATCAGCTTTGTGATGTGCTCTGTACTTTCAGATGATCAAATAGCTTTCAAATTTAATCTGGTCCTTCATTTTCAAAGAATTGTCCCTGGTTTAGTATTTCATAATCTAACTTAAGTTCACATCAGCAAATGTACATTAACTGTTTATAATGTGATGGCACTATCCGAGTACCTATGTGGGTACCAGGATGAGAAGCTCAAGTCCCTATTCTCAAAAATTCACTTTTTAACATTGATGAATAATCAGTCTTCACTTGTAATGATTAAAAAAACTTTGTTCATCATATGCTTTATTTAAAGATTGATAATCTGTTCTCCCATTACCTGGTTACTTGCTCTTTGTTCTCCTAATTACTTCTTAGGACCTTTAGTAGCTTTCTTGTTTTCTGAGTATGGATGTTTCCCTCACGTAGGACACTGCTAGTCATTTTGGCTATAGCAGCATATTGAAATTTTTTCAGAGAACAATGTATAATAGGAGTTAGCAAACTTTTTTGTGTAAAAGGCCAGATAGTAAATATTTTTGGCCTGTGTGCAACATACAATTTCCTTTTTTGACATATGCTTCTTTTTTTTTTGAAATGACTTTTAATATGGGAAAATCATTGTTCTCAGGCTATACCATATTGTTCCCAACCCCTGGTTAGCCCACCTTTTTGAAAATATGTTCTGCAGATTACTAACTCCACTGGATGGTCCTTGTAAAAAGGATTCCATGGTCAAATAAATCAGCCAGATGTTCCATGCTGTGTCATTCTCTTGAACATTTTTAAGACTTGTTAGAATACTAATGGCTTTAAAAAATCCTTTGGTTTGGCAGGGCGCGGTGGCTCACACCTATAATCCCAGCATTTTGGAAGGCTGAGGTGGGCATATCACCTGAGGTCAGGAGTTCGAGACCAGCCTGACCAATATGGTGAAACCCTGTCTGTACTAAAAATACCAAAATTAGCTGGGCATGGTGGCAGGCACCTGTAGTCCCAGCTACTCAGGAGGTTGAGACAGGAGAATTGCTTGAACCAGGGAGGCAGAGGTTGCAGTGAGCCGAGATCGTGCCACTGTACTCCAGCCTGGGTGACGGAGCAAGACTCCGTTTTTAAAAAAAATCCTTTGGTTTATAAGCTGCTTTCTCCTTGGAACTTTGTGGTTCTTTTGACTTGCTTATTTTTGAATGAGACTTTGTTTCTTAGAATGTTGTCCTGTATATGATTTCTAGGTCATCTCCTGATCATATTTTATAATCAGACCTTTTAAAAAAATATATTCCTCTAAATTTACTTTGTCCATGGCTACTTCAAGTTTATTATAAAATATTCTGGACCGGGTGCCCAGATTACACCTGTAATCCCAGCACTTTGGGAGGCTGAGGTGGGACAATCACTTGAGCTTAGGAGTTTAAGACCAGCCTGGACAACATGGTGAAACTCCATCTCTACAATAGAAAGTTAGCTAGACATGGTGGTGTACACCTGTAGTCCTACCTACTCGGGAGGCTGAGGCAGGAGGATCTCTAGAGTCTGGGAGGTTGAGCCTGCAGTGAGCCGAGATCATGCCATGCAGTCCAGCCTGGGTGACAGAGTGAGACCCTGTCTCCAAGGAAAAAAGCAAAAACAAAAAATCTGTATGCTTACCTGACTAGATTGTTTTACATTTAGACATGTAAAAAGAACTGGAATATCAAATTTCTCAGTGGTTTCCTTTCCATCATTTCATAACAATGCTAACATATTTTTTTTTTTTTCTCTTAACCAGGAAAAGTGGGTTGAAGTTGCCTCAATGAAAGTGCCTAGAGCAGGCATGTGTGTTGTGGCAGTCAATGGTCTTCTGTATGTCTCTGGAGGTCGATCTTCCAGCCATGATTTTTTGGCCCCAGGTACCTTGGACTCAGTCGAAGTTTATAACCCTCATTCAGATACATGGACAGAAATTGGTAACATGATCACCAGTCGTTGTGAAGGGGGTGTTGCTGTGCTGTGAAATATAAAGCATAACAGAGCATAAGGAATATTTTGAAAACGCAGGATCTGACCTTTTGCAAAGCAAATGTACATTTGGTGATAAGACCCTCTGAGTCTTTGAGTTTTCCATGTATTTGGTAGATAAATGACTAATGAGGCTGAGCACAGTGGCCTCATGTCCAAAATCCCAGCACTTTGGAAGGCTGAGGCAGAAGGATCACTTAAGCCCAGGAATTTGAGGTTATACGTAGTGAGCTATGATCATGCTACCTGCTGTCCGCTCTGAGCAATAGAATGAAATCCTGCCTCTTAAAGAAAAAAGAAAAAAAACTAAACTACAGAGTGATTTTTCTAAAAATGTAAGTGAGAACAGATATGGAATATATCTCAATTAATAAAGAGCTCACACAGAATTACCAAGCTTAATAAAAGTAGAAATGCCATTTATGCTGTAGAATTCTCCAGTTAAGTGTAGACAAGTCCTATTTTATAAATTTGTAAAAATTATTTACTAGAAGCTCCCTGGCAAATAGCCCCTTTAGCTACTTCTTCAGTGCAATATAAGTTGTAACGTAACCTTTATGTGATGTAGAAATAATATCAATGACACAATTTAAAGATCTCTGTATATTCACAATTCTATCCAGAGCATAATTTTCCATTGCCATAGTTTGAGCTACAGAGAAAAGTCAATGAAACAAATTCCTACTTTTATTTGATGCCAGGAGTTTTCACTCACCCCAAACTTTTTTTTTTTTTTTTTTTTTTTTTTTTTTTTTTTTTTTTGAGACGGAGTTTCACTCATGTTACCCAGGCTGGAGTGCAATGGCGCAATCTCGGCTCACCGCAACCTCCGCCTCCTGGGTTCAGGCAATTCTCCTGCCTCAGCCTCCTGAGTAGCTGGGATTACAGGCACGCACCACCATGCCCAGCTAATTTTTTGTATTTTTAGTAGAGACGGGGTTTCACCATGTTGACCAGGATGGTCTCGATCTCTTGACCTCGTGATCCACCCGTCTCGGCCTCCCAAAGTGCTGGGATTACAGGCGTGAGCCACCGCGCCCGGCTAGAAAAGGAGCTTATTGTGTTAGAGGAAGATTAAAAATGATTACAAAAAAAAAAAAAAAAGAAATTTATTCCTGTTTTAGGCTGGGCGAGGTGGCTCACACCTATAATCCCAGCATTTTGGGAGGCTGAGGCGAGGTGGGCAGATCACTTGAACTCAGGAGTTCAAGACCAGCCTGGGCAACATGACGAGACTCCATCTCTATCAAAAAAAAAAATGTAAAAATTAGCCAGCCATGGTTGCTTATGCCTGTGGTCCCATTTGCTTGGGAGACTGTGGTTGCAGGATCACTTGAGCCCAGGAGGTCAAGGCTGCAGTGAGCTGAGATTGTGCTACTGCATTCTGGCCTGGGTGACAGCATGAGACCCTGTCTCAAAAAAAAAAAAAAAAAATTTCTTCTTTCTTCCTTTTTTGCTAGATTGTTGTCATCAAAATTATCCGTTTGGCTTTAGGAAGAGGGAATTTTATTAGATTATAAAGCTTTGTGAACTTTATTTGTGTTTGGACAAACCTAAGTAAGAGCACACTACAAAGCTACTGCTTGGATGTAGAGGGCTAAATTGTAGGTACTTGTGAAACTTTTTATAGACACTGACTCATAAGTGTATTTTGAAAAGCCCCCTTGACCCAAAACTGCTTTTCAAAACTTCTCATTTTCTCCCTGAGAAGTATTCTAAAGAATTGTTCTCTGTTCATTTAAAAGAGGAAGATTCACTGGGTTTGTGATGGGGTTACTTTCAAGTTATTTCTGCTGGCAAGTTGGAGCCATATATATCTTGCATCCAGTAAAAAAATTTTTTTTTGAGACGGAGTTTCGTTCCTGTTGTCCAGGTTGGAGTGCAATGGCACACTTGGCTCACTAAAATGTCCGCCTCCCAGGTTCAAGTGATTCTCCTGCCTCAGCCTCCCAAGTAGCTGGGATGACAGGTGCCCCCACTACCATGCCCAGCTAATTTTTTGTACGGGGTTTCATCATGATTGGTCTCGAACTTCTGACTTCAGGTGATCTACCAGCCTCGGCCTCCTAAAGTGCTGGGATTACAGGTGTGAGTCACCTGGACACATATGGTAAAATTTAACTAGTTGACTTACAGATTTGATTTACCGTTTCTTTACTAAGGTCCTAAAGTATATTAATATAAGAATCATCAACTTATTTAGATAGAAAACCTTTAATTGTATTAATGAATCAGGTAGCACTCATATCCAAATTCTTTGGTTTAGGCTGGGCACGGTATCTCATGCCTGTAATCCCAGCACTTTGGGAGGCTGAGGTGGGCGGATCACTTGAGGTCAGGGGTTCAAGACCAGTCTAGCCAACATGGTAAAACCCTGTCTCTACTAAAAATACAAAAAATTAACAGCGGGTGGTGGTACACACCTATAATCCCAGTTGCTCAGGAGGCTGAGGCAGGGACTTGCTTGAACCTGGGAGGAGGTTGCAGTGACTCAAGATCCAGCCACTGCATTCCAGTCTGGGCCATAGAGCAAGACTTTGTCTCAACAAAATAAAATAACATAAAATAAAATAATATTTGGTTTAATCCACAAGTATGCTTTCTTTATAATTTAGCCATATGCATTTATTAGGAAAAGCTTATATAATGCTGACAGGAAGCTCTGTGTTTCCTTTTCTGGGCATCCTGAAAATCTGAAGGGTCATGGATGTCTGTATAGAGATCTGTAAGATGTCAAAGAATAAAGTATAAAGATAATTTATAGACTAAGCTTTAACTCATGTGCCTTTATTATTTCCAGTTACAGAGAATCTGTATTCTTATTCAAAACAGATTTACAAAATACTTTTACAACTTATTTCTCATTATTGTCTAGTGGCAACTGAAAATGACACTGTGAAGGGGGGTGTTTTGCACAGCTGTGGCAGAAATGTAATGTCAGGACAATCAGTGTTTAACAGGTCCCGAAGATCTCTGAAAATAGGTAATTGTAAATATGCTTATTGTTTCTTAGGTAATTAAAACATTGTTTCTAAAAGAATGTACTAATAAAGTATCTAGATTTTTTTGGTTTCTTTGTATTACTTTATCAGTGGCATTCTGGGTTACCAAATTGTAGTAGGATTGCACAAGTTTTTTAGTTTGTTTTAACTTTAGGGACTTGCACATTTAGTTTTACATTTAATTGTTTTTTGAGAAATGATTAAAGTGATCTACCGCCAAAATGCTTAACAATTTGATATGCTTCTAAGTTTCCTGCCAATGTACTTAATCAAATGTACTTAAAAATCAGTTTTCTTAAAGAAGCATACACTGTAATTCACCTGGAAAATAGCTTTTTGTTGTTGTTGTTGTTTTCTAAACTTTATTTCTCCCCACCAGAAGGTGGGGGTGGGCAGGCCTAGAACACTGCTTGTGACGGGGTTCCTGGGTCAGGCCAGTGCAGACAGCGCGGGTTTGGCGCGGCTCTTAGGTGAAGGTGTAGTTGTTCCAGTGTAAAGTTAAAACATTGGCCGCGTTTATGTTATAGTTGATGTAGACTCTGTCTGGGCTGATGCGCAGGCGCTCTGCCCGCAGGCAGCACAGCATCTTCCTGTTAGGAGCGGTTCTGCGCGCCGCTAAGCTTGCAGATGCTGTGCAGGCTGCAGAGCACACACCGCTCGCTGGAGCCGCCCAAGGCCACGAGCTGATCCGGGACCAAGTGCACCGCAATGTAGTGGGGTGGCTTGCCAGTGGCCTGCACCAGCTGCTGGGTGAGCTCGGAGAGGAACCCGTGCAGCACGGAGGCACCGGGCACGTTGGTGTTTACGATGAACATTGGTATGATGGCAGAGGGACCCGGAGACCTGCCCAGAGGCACAGACGCACGCGCTGCGGCTGCTGCTGAGCAACGTGCCTGACTTCGAAAACAGCATTTTTTAAGCAAAATTGGGCGATTAGCCTAAAAATAGTATTTGCCTCCATTCTGGAAAATAATTTATTTAATTCAGATTTTGAGACGGAGTCTCGCTCTGTCGCTAGGCTGGAGTGCAGTGGTATGATCTTGGCTCATTTCAACCTTTGCCTCCTGGGTTCAAGCAATTCTGCCTCAGCCTCCTGAGCAGCGGGGATTACTGGCGCACGCCACCACGCCCGGCTAATTTTTGTATTTTCAGTAGAGAAGGGGTTTCACCATGTTGGTCAGGCTGGTCTCGAACTCCTGACCTTGTGATCCATCAGCCTGGGCCTCCCAAAGTGCTGGGATTACAGGTGTGAGCCGCCGCTCCTGGCCCAGATTATGGACAAATCTTAAATATGTATAGCATTCTTGCAATTTAGTAGCAAAGAAGTGAGTTTCCTTATTAAAACAATCTGAGTAGACTCAGATTGAGACTGACTACAAACACCTCTCTCAAAAAAAGTACAGGCCAGGCACCGTGGTTTACGCCTGTAATCCCAGTGCTTTGGGAGGCTGAGGTGGGCGGATCACCTGAGGTTGGGAGTTCGAGACTGGCCTGATCAACATGGAGAAACCCTGTCTCTATTAAAAATACAAAATGAGCCAGGTGTGGTGATGTATGCCTGTAATCCCAGCTACTCGGGAGACAGAGGCAGAAGAATCGCCTGAACCAGGGAGGCAGAGGTTATGGTGAGCTGAGATTGTGCCATTGCACTCCAGCCTGGGCAACTAGAGTGAAACTCCCTCTCCAAAAAAAAAATTAGCCAGGCATGATGGTGCATGCCTATACTCCCAGCTACTAAGGAGGCTAAGGTGGAATGATTGCTTGATTCTGGGAGCTTGAGGCTGCAGTGAGCCAAGATTGTGCCACTGCACTCCAGCCTAGGCAACAGAGTGAGATCCTGTCTTAAAAAATAAAAAAATCCCAGAACACGAAATAATAAAAAAAAATAAAAATAAAAAAATAAAGCCTAACTAAGTATAGTGGTGTGTACCTGTAGTCCCAGCTACTCAGGAGGCTGAGGCAGGAGAATCACTTGAGGCCAGGATTTTGATGCCAGCCTCAGCAGCACAGCCATATCCTTTATTTATTTTTGCTATGGGGTTTTGCCATGCTGCCCAGGGTGGTCTTGATCTTCTGGACTCAAGTGATCTGCCTACCTCGTACTCCCAAAATGTTGGGATTACAGGTGTAAGCCACTGCATCTGTCCAGCCCCTTATCTAAAAAAAAAAAAAAAGAAAGAAAAGAAAAGAAAGAAGATTCCATAGTTGTTTCAGCCATGGACTTATGGACTTTAACTGGTAAGCTTCTCAATGATCAGAATGAGGTCCTAGCTCTATGGTATTGTATTAGTTTGCTCATGTTGCTGTTAACCAAACACCACACAAATTTTAACAAAAACTTAACATCTCACAGTTCTTGAGGCTAGAAATATGAATGAAATCAAGGTATTGGCAGAGTAAGTTCCTCCTGAGGGCTGTGAGGATAGGATCTATTTCATGCCTTTCTCATTAGCCTGTAGATGGCCATCTTCATGTTCACATGACAATTATCTCTGTATGCATCTGTCCCCAAATTTTCCCTTTTTCTAAGAACACAGGTCAAATTGAATTGGAGACCACTCTTATCACTTTATATTAACATTATTATCCCTGTAAAGGCCCTATCTAGAAATAAGCCCACATTCTGAGGTACTCTGGGTTAGGGCTTCATCACACAATTCAATCCATTACAGGTGTGTCAGAAGATAATAAACAAGTTGGGCTGGGTGTGGTGGCTGATGCCTGTAATCCCAGCACTTTGGGAGG